TCCAGAATAACCCGTTATAAATGCAGTTTAAGTTTGTTCCATTTTAGTGTCAACACTGATGACTCAGTGTAGTCTGAGCGTACACATTTTGTATCAATAGATGCAGTGTTCCATGACTATATAAATTATGCAAACTATTTTTTCTAAAATTTGCCTATGTTCTGCAGGTTGTAGTGATGTTGAGCTTTGCCAAACGCTCATGCTTTCTGATCATCAGAATTCTGAGATTCACCTACTTCAGTGTAAACAGAAGATATTGCCCTTCCAGGCATTTTAAAGTTTATTTTTGCAATCACATTGAACAGAAAAATATGCCTCTTCTGCTCCTTCTCCTGCCCCCCACCCAAAATTGTTCAGGACACTGTTTTCCATGACCAACATATTTTTAGTTTTTTGCTCAAAATTCTGATATTTTTTAGATTCTCAGGGGCTCTGTGATAGCACTTAACCCAGGACCCAAGAAATAGAAGTTGTAAGGAAGTAATGCTACACTTTACAATTTCAGAGTGGATTAGTGTTTCCAGATTGAGATGGATGACTTAACTGCAGTGGAAGGCAGAAGAGACAGACTGTATAAGGGAGAAAGCAGTTTCACATGTACTGTATGTTTCTACAAACTGTAAAGATAAGAATGGTACCAAATAAAATGCATTTATTATATTAGACAGAATGTGTTGATAATTATTTTACAAACTGCTGATACATAAACTTTGTGGATAGTTTAAACTTCATTAAGGATCAAAGGTGACCCAAGTTATTTTGGTCTTTGCTCTGCATGATTTACTGTTACCCCTGCTTTAGAGAATAGAATGAACTATAAAATAAAAAGGGACAAAAATAATTTCTTACGTACATGTTCCAAGCCACAGAAGAAGATATTTTCATCCTTCATGCCAATGTTGCATAAAATTAATTGGAGCACCATGATAATTTTCTACTTCAGTATACAGGACACATGTTCCAAGCCACAGAAGAAGATATTTTCATCCTTCATGCCAATGTTGCATAAAATTAATTGGAGCACCATGATAATTTTCTACTTCAGTAAACAGGACACATGTATGGATTTTCTTCCATCAATTACATCTAGGTTCAGAAGTTTTTTTTTTAAAAAAATGTTGTCCTACTTGGACAGATGTACTTTAGAATGTTCTATTGGAAGCTATAGGTGCAT